TTGTGTGTTGAATTACTCGCAAAGTGGAGTTTTCGTGTCACGACCCCTCTTTGTGGAGTTATTGTGTGTGTGTGGATATTGTGTGGCGTACGGTATCATTGCTTTGAGGTAGGTTTAGATATTTTTGACTTACACCACACTGCAAACTCTCGTTTACGACGTAAGGAATGGTCAGATCAAAGCAATTGTCAGCACTTCTCAGTAATTCTAAAATTTTCATGTGCGCAAATAGATATTTTGAGCACTGTAGTTATAGTTCAATGGATGCATAGAATTATTTCGCGCATTTCACAAACCACAGGCGGCTGTGAAGGTGCTGGTGACGGTGGAGAGGTGCAAATTCCTTATCATGGTCTTCATTTTTCTTGGTTCCTCATGCTTGAAACTCTACACATTCTGTGCTACGTACTTCAATCAAACATCTACACATCGAACGGAAAATGAGAGGATTTACACAGTGTATGTAAAATTCTCTCCAGGTTCATGAACATCTTCCATTCGAAGAAAAAATACCGCTGTTTACGTATATCCCTTGTTTACTGAACGATTCGATTGCCTCAGAGGTTATTCCAGTTTGCTACGTTGACGCGACCAATCAAATGGCATCAATTATCAAAGAGTGCTTTGATTCGCTCAAAATTGTGAGATTCTAGCCACTCAAATGGCTAATTGCTAATCCAAATTGGAAGCCAATCTTTTCAGCGATACCTCACAGAAAACGTCCGCAACTTGATGAATGACGCCGCTTGTGATGCATGATCGATCAACCGACAGATTTCACGCTATATCACACGCGCAGTGTGTGTGGAATGACCTTTTTTACCGAGGTACCTCGTTTCTTGCTGTACTTGTTTTCAAATACCACGGATGGGAAAAACACATGGGACAAACCGTCCGTAGAAACCCGACGTGTTTGTCATGGGACAACATCACTTTCAAGTCACATGACGGACTTGAAGCATGTCCAGGCGGCATTCCCTCTCGATGAAGGCTACACGCGAGTGTATCTGTGTCGACATGGAGAGACCGGTACGTATGCGATCGAGTGTCCTTGTTGTACGTGTGGGGACTCACAGGCGTGCCGTTAGACTACAATGTGACGCTGCGGTTTCAGGGCCGCGGCATCGATAGCACACTCAATAAAAACGGTGAAGCACAGGCCAAGAAACTAGGACTAGCGTTGCAAGACGTACCTCTGGAAGGACTGTATTGTAGCTTCCTCGTCCGCGCCAAATCGACGGCTGCTGCGATCGGGGTACATCACGACCTCGATCCGATTGTGGTTGACGGCTTGGAAGAAATGTTCTTTGGCACGTGCGAAGGCATCAAGCTCGATGACCTGTACGACTTGTGGAAGTCGACAGTGAATGCGTGGGTCGAAGGAAATCTCCATGTAAGGTGGCCAGAGGGCGAGTCCCCGGTGGAAGTCGAGAAGCGAGGACGGGAAGCGCTGCTGAGAGTCCTCACACCCAAGGCGAAACACATTGCGCTCGTGTGTCATGGTCGATTCAACAAACTGCTTTTGTCATCGCTGCTTTACGGCGATATGACAAAGGTAGAAACCATCGCACAAGACAACACGTGCATCAACGTCCTCGACTTCCACCATGACACCAAGACGTTCACGCCACGGTGCCTCAATTACACCGACCACTGGAATCTCGACCTTCAAGAAGATTAATTTCCATCATTGCTGAGGCCCATATTTCGTATCATTCACTTCCGTCCTTGAAGGCTCATACCAAGGGCGAATCCTTCCTGCAATAGAGTGTGATGAACGGGAATGTGCCTGAAAGGCCGCAGCAGCATTTGCCGCCAAACAGAATCCATTCACGGACCATGAGGCATGGCAACGATGTGTTTGTGAGATGATGTGACTCAAGAAAGCGCGGGCGGACGGCGCGATGCTGTCATACATTGACGGAATGCCGGAACGCTGGGGTAATAATAAAATTCGTGTTGATTGGAAACGATATAATTTATTGAAACAAGCGTTGATAAATAGAGATGCAAAGAGGTCATTAAATATTGGATAAAAAAGAGGCAAATTGGACCTACCATGTTTATATTGTATGGCCGTTCACAGCTTTCGCTTCTTCCACAGAAACTTGATATCCCACACAAGTCGACCATCGCCGACGCATCATGGCTCCCTCCGCGACCCAGAGTGCCGCGCCCGCTAAAAAGGGCGAAACCTTGCGCGGCAAGGCCAAGGAAAAGGATGTGCGCATCTCCAACATCATTGCGGCCAAAGGTACGCAGGTGCATTCGGCAGCTCATTGACTGGAAGGCGTTGGGAATGTGTAGCTATTGCAAACGCCATCCGCACCAGTTTGGGACCCCGCGGAATGGACAAGATGATCCAACAAGGCAACGGCGAAGTGATCATTTCGAACGACGGTGCAACGATCTTGACGCAAATGCAAGTGTACCACCCGACGGCCAAGATGCTAGTCGACTTGTCCAAGTCCCAGGACATTGAGGCTGGTGACGGCACCACGAGCGTATGCGTGATTGCGGGTTCGCTCCTGTCTGCCTGCGAAGACTTGTTGGAGAAGGGCATTCACCCTACACACATCTCCGAAGCCTTTGGGATCGCGTCGACCAAGGCGGAACAAATCCTCACCGCCATGGCACGCCCCGTCGACTTGGCTAACCGCGACGAGCTCATTCAGTGTGTCACGACGTCGCTGTCGTCCAAGGTGATTTCTGAATACTCGGACCGTCTGTCTCCCATCGCGGTGGACGCTGTCTTGAATGTGATTGACATCGCAACCGCCACCAACGTCGACCTCCGCGACGTCAAGGTCGTCAAGCAACTCGGGGGCACGATCGATGACTCGCAGCTTATCAACGGGTTGGTTTTCTCCAAGGTACGTGGCCCTTTCCCCCGTGTTCGTGTGTGATCGTGCGGTGGCCAGGGCTTTGAAAAGACGAGCGGGGTCGACTTGCCCGCAACGATTGAGAACGCCAAGATCGCGCTCATCCAATTCTGCCTGTCGGCGCCCAAGACGGACATGGAGAACAACGTTGTGATCAACGATTACTCGGCGATGGACCGCATCCTCCGCGAAGAGCGCAAGTACATTTTGAACTTGTGCAAGCAGGTCAAGAAGGCCGGTGTGAATGTGCTCTTGATTCAAAAGTCGATTTTGCGCGATGCCACCAACGACCTGAGTTTGCACTTTTTGGCCAAGATGGGCATCCACGTCATCACGGACATTGAGCGCAACGACATTGAGTACATCAGCACGACCCTTGGGTGCCTGCCCGTCGCCCACATCGAGTCGCTTACGGCGGACAAGCTCGGTACGGCCGGCCTTGTCCAAGAAGAGTCGCTGGGTGGCCACAAGGTACGATATGCAGTGTTTTGTTTGTGCAACCGTGTGGTTGTCGGCACGTCCTGCATCCTGACCTGTTTTGTGCACATGAGGTGGTTAAAATCACGGAAGTGGTCAAGCCAGGCAAAACCATGTCGATCTTGGTGCGCGGATCCAATAAATTGGTGCTCGAAGAAGCCGAACGCTCGTTGCATGATGCTTTGTGTGTCGTGCGGTCGTTGGTGAAGAAGCGCTTCCTCATCTGTGGTGGCGGGGCGCCTGAAATTGAGGTACCGACGTGAGCATACTGGGCCCCAACGACTCATGTGGGGGTTGCAGGTCGCATTGCAACTGGCCGAATACGGTCGCACGCTGCAAGGGACGGCAGCGTACTGTTTACAAGCGTTTGCCGATGCGTTGGAAGTGATTCCGTACACATTGGCTGAAAACGCCGGACTGCACCCGATCGGCATTGTCACAGAGCTCCGTGCCAAACACGCGGCCGGCGACAAGGCCGCCGGCATCAACGTCCGAAAAGGAGGCATCAGCAACATGTACGACCTGAACGTGCTGCAGCCGCTTTTGGTCAACACGAGCGAAATCAGTTTGGCGGCGGAATGTGTTCGCATGATTCTGAAAATCGACGACATCGTGATGGTGCGTTAGACAAGTAGAGAGGCCCACGATAATGAAACAAGTTGGATTAAGCGAATCGTGTCATGGAGGGTGAAGGACCGCAAAATGCCGGTTGACCTGCTGCTGTGGCTAGATTATAACCCCATGGACACGTGGCATGTGTCTGTAAAACGCCATGGTGCAGCGTTGGTCGATGGCAGTCAGCATCGCGCAGCCGATGGACCTTAGAAACCCAAGCGCTCGTTCTCGGCGTTCAGGAAGTAGACATTGGAGAACCGCCCCGTTGGCAAGGCAGATGCGCCATTGCAGTCGCCGACGTCGCGGCGAATGTATTTAATCGAAGAGGGTCCATGTCATGCCCACGATGGAATACCAGACAAGGTGAAGTGGCTGACTCTCGTGGGACGAGATCCTCATTGAAGTGTGCAAGATTTGTGGGGCGAAGGAAGCACTAGCGAAGATTTCGTGAAGCAGATCGACAACACTTCCGAGCAGCGCATGGCCTGACCTGTGCCTAACTGGGCGCCGTTCGACGAAGCCACCATCACCCGAGTACTCGTTGGTCCTCTTGGCAACCTCATCAGACGAGAATGCATCCAGGGCAACGTCCCTCGGACAGTGACGGCTCCATCCTGCAAACGGGCACGAGGAGGTGGAGGATACGAGCTTGTTAACAGGGGGGACGTCCCGCATGGGAAA